AGAGAGAAATGTTATATGTTTATGCATGATATCAAAGTTGTATGCTAAAACATATCAATGTAAATATACAGACACAGTCAGAACAAATACCATATATCACATAATGAGTGAAAGAATTATTATAATATTATATTATCCTAAGGGTTGAGAGAGATGTCATTATTATTTCTAATGGGTGAGATCAAAGCACTTTGAAACAGATCATGACTGAGAGAACTATTATAGTATTTCTTAATACTTGAAAGTGATTTCATTATTTGTCCTAATGGACAAAAGAAGAGCACTCTCAATCACATAATGAGTGAGAGAAGTATTATAAATTATCCTATTGGTTGAGAGAAAAGTCATTATTTTTCCTAATGGGTGAGAGAAGGGCATTATAAAACACATAATGAGTGAGAGAAATGTCATATATTATTGTAATGGTTGAGAGAGATTTTATTATTTTATTATTCTTCCTAAGAGCTGAGAGAGAAATAGAGAAAAACAGAATCCCTACAGAAAGCCCAACACGGCAAAATTGTAAAATGTTGCAGGCTCGGTTTGATTGAGCCTGTTCATGGACGGTAATGGAAATTGCAAGTTACCGTCCACGCCTCCTAGCACCGGCTTAAGCAGAATTCAACATTTAAACACAAAATGGTGAAATTTGGAAACATCCGCCGATGTTTTCATACGGCGGTCATCATGGAACCTTCAATGTGACACAGTAGTGTCATTCCATGAAAAGCGGCGTATGGTCCCCAAGTAAAAGAATGCGTGTGCCCTAAACGAGAAAACAATGGGTGGAACTGAAAAAATTGGAATTTTGAAAGGGGATAAGAGGTTATGAAGCCTGCATATAACAGACAAGACGTCAAAAGACAAATTTAAAAAGCAGGCAACATATCCTTCTAAAAGGTTAAACTTACACTGACATTTAGCTTTCAATGACAAAGTATTGAATTTTGGTTAAGTTGTCATAATTTTGCTATTTATGTACAGATTTGTTTAATGCGTAAACAAAACAACACTTGTGACCAAACAAACATGTGGAATATTTTAAATATGACAGTGACCTAAACAAATGACCTTGATCATCAATTGATTAAATTTTGATTATATTTTTCTTAACTTTGTCATTTATTTATTTTTTGCTCTATATTATTTTTAAAGATTTTTATAAACCTTTGATTTGTTTGCTTTTTGAAAAAGTAAACAAGTCAAGTGTTGTCCCCACTTGGCGGTGGCTCTTGTTTGCAATATTGTCATGTTTTGTCAGTTATTCTGTCATTCATTCACTGGATATTATTCTATGGTGATTATACAGTATTCAAGTAGGAATACTGGAACTACCCAAGTTGAAAAAGGCCAAATACAAGAAACTAAAATACCATCTAAAATGTATACACAACAACAATGTCGTGCTGAGCGATCTTCAAGGATCGAAAATATAGTATCATAATTATATTATCATAAGGGTTGAGAGAGAATTCCTTATTTGACCTTATGGGAGAGAGAAGAGCACCATATTACACATAATGAGTGAGAGAAGTATCATATATCATCCTAAGGGATGAGAGAAAAGTCATTATTCGTCCTAATAGGTGAGAGAAGAGCAATATAAATCAAATAATTTGTGAGAGAAGTATCATATATTATCCTAATGGTTGAGAGAGAAGTCATTATTTTTCCTAATGAGTGAGAGAAGGGCATTATAAAACACATTATGCGTAAGAGAACTGTTATATATTTGTATTAAGGGCTGAGAGACTTGTTGTTATTTTCCTTATGTGTGAGGGATAAGCACTTTAAAACACATGACGACTGTGGGAAATATTATATATTATCTAAAGGTTTGAGAGACATGACATTTTATCAACTACATAATCCCTTTTGTAAACCCCACAGAGATCGCATAGCTTGACCAGCAAACCTACACATCAGTGCAAGGCTTATCAGCAAACTGAAATCAGGCAAAATATTCTTTAGAACAAATAAATTATAAAAAATTCCGTTGTTAATTAATGATAACGCTAGCAAAATAGGGAATGTGTTAGAATAAACAGGAAATAAAAGTTTGGCAAGAAAAGTTTTCTTAAAACTTAGCTAAGTTTTTAATTTATACTGTAAAATGCATTTCAAGCGGAGATGACCTTGTTTCTCATAAAGAAGACAATAAAATCGCGTACTGTAAATATGTTTAACAATTATTTGTGCATAGCCTTATGGCACAGTCGTACAGACTCAGAAAGATAACTAACTTCACTGTAGTTAATTTGCACATATCACTACGTAAAGCTGATACTTAAAAGCAAAATTGCCGTGCAATACACACTATTCTATGCAAAATAACCAGCAAAAAATGGGCCGATAGAAATAGCCTATGTGCTTCCTTACAGGGACTTAATAAATATTTTGCATTTCCTATCGGGAACTTTACATTTACATTTCCATTCCCATACGGGCACTTAATTTTAGCATTCCTTACGGGAACTTTATTGTGTAAGAATACAGTCTGAGCTGGTTAATTATTTGAGATAATTCACGTATTACGTACGGATGTGAATTGTATAAATACTGTGATGAAATACTGTAATTTTGACATGATGCATAGACATAATTCGTTGCCACAAATACCGTCAACAATTTTCCAGGTTACTTATATTCTAATTATGGAAACAGCCGTGGGCGGAAGTGGACAAGGTCAAAATGAGGGGGCGCGCAAGATTGAAACTCAGATAAACGATTTCGTAACAAAAGGGAAGCAAATCTTCCTGAATATGACGAATACCATGCAAGAGTTGTCTTAACACGGATCAAAATTATCGGCGGTTGCGGAAACAGTTGAGCAGTTGCAATCGGAAGTATGAGCCTTGAAAAGCTCAGCGGAAAACAAACAACTTACTCTTGGGACTTCGAAAAAGAGAAGGCATAAAGACATGGCTGAAAGACATTCCATACAATCTCAGTCACAATCTGAAGATATTAATGATTCAATTAACGATTTATTTTCTGAGGACAGAAATAACACGGGAGAGGACGACAGAAAGAAGGAAGATGATATTTTACAAGATTAGTTCAAGGAAAAAGTGGTAACTGGAGACAAAGTCTGTGACAAAAAATTGCAGAAATTACCAACAGGTCTTTAAGGGCTACTCCTGATGAAAATCGAATGATGGAACTCAGAGGGAAACACATGGGACCGGCCAATCTTGAAAACTTACAAACTCCTTCTTTGGAAAATTTCCTGTGGAAAAAATTTAAAACGGCGACAAAAATTGTTGACGGGAAAATGCAAAAGTCTGTTCACTTAATCTCCAACTGTTTGGTGCCTATCATCAAAGCTTTAGACCATGTTCGAGATACGAAGAATCTTAGTCATGACACGATGAAGGATTTTCTAGCGATGCCTATAATATGATTGTATACGGCATTACATCGACCAACAGAAGTCGAAAAGATAAGATCATTTCTGAGGTGAATCCAGTATACAAGAATATTTGCCGGAAGCCAATGACATCAACCACGCAATTTTTTGGAGATTCTTTGAAAAATGATGCAAAATCAGTCAATGAGAAAACAACGATAACAAAAGTCAATACTTACTCATTGTAAACAAATTCACTTTCTGGGTTTCAATTTGTGTTCCGAAACTATGTCAGTATATTTGACACCTGATAGGAAAACAGAACTTAAGACACTTTGCCAGGAGGTTGTTAATAAAAAAAGAATAAGAATTTAAAAATTTTCTACGCTAATCGGAAAAATAGTCGCTTCAGAAGCAGGGGTGCAATATGCACTATTGTTTAATAAACATTTAGAAAAGGTAACAGATGCCAGTTTAAGACAAGCAAAGAGTGAATAAAAATATAGCAATTTAATCGTGCATCTCAAATGTTGAGATAGGTATAAAAACTGTATCATTTTGTCAACCAGATCTCACAATCTTTTCTGATGCATGGAAACATGGTTGGGGAGCAATAGACAAAACTAATAATAATAAACCTAGTGGCCAGTGGTCTTTATCACAACAGCAATTTCATATCAATATACTTGAACTTGAGGCATGTCAGTTGGCTTTGATGCCACTTTGCAAAAATATTTGTAACAGTCATGTAAGAATTTATATGGACAATGCCACAAATTGTACATACATAAACAAGTTTGGAGGTAAGAAATCTCTATAAAACACATTAGCAAGAGAAATATGGCAGTGGTGTCAGAACAAAGATATACATTTAACAGCAGCACATATACCTGGTACACACAAAGAGAAGCTGATGAGCCGTCTAGAACATTCACAAATGATACAGAATGGTCGTTAACCCAAGATAAATTTAAGAATATTATTAAGAATTTTCCAAACCTGACAGTTGATCTCTTTGCATTTCGATTTAACCATACATTACAAAAATATGTCACAATCCAGAACCTAATGCCTTAGCATTAGATGCTTTCACATTATGTTTGCAAGATGGGTTATATTTCAGTTTTGCATCTTTCAGTCTCATCGCAAAAATACCTAAAAATATAGAGGATGACAAGGCAAAAGCTGTCATCATTTGTTAAATATGGAAAACACAAAGCTGGTGGGCAGCACTTCCTTCTTCAATTAATCAGCGGGCCATGCTTTCTTCTTCCAAAACCACAGAAAATTTCAAATGGAAGTAACCACAAATGGAAAAAAAACATAAAAACAATCATGTTCACCCATGAAGTATTACTACTACTACTACCACCAACACCACCACCACCACCATGGAATAACTTGCGTTCAGAATCCTCTAAAAGAAATACACATGTATTATAATGGTTTATTTAAGCTTTACTACATTTCTTGAGACTATCATCGTGTGTTATATTCTATCAGAACCCTTTAAAAGGTCGATCACCCTGGATTGTGTCAGCTTCATTGCATCCGTTGAAGATATCGCCTTGGCTTTATTGCGATTATAAACCTCTAAAACCTTTATTTTGTAGCAATAGAATAATAATCAACCGCTCGGTACACGCTAAAGAAGCATTCAGCAGGTGCGCGATGATGTAGTATCTTACATTTGTTACATAATAAGATAGTACAAAATACACATACTAACTTTTTACATGGTATTTGGTTCGGACAGTTGACTATGTATTTTCTAAAACTTGTCAGTGTGCTCGCGATTTCTCTTGTTGTTGATTGTCTTCTCATTCACAGTGTACCCAGGAAATCAGTTGTTGATACAATTGGACCTACACATCGGGCTGTTTGGGGACCGTGGGGTCGTGCGCAGTATTGTGCGGAAGGTACTTATGCTGCCGGATATGAAATGAAGGTATGCTCATAATCTATATTGTGAAATAATCTGATTGTTCATTTTATCCATTTAATTTGTAATTCGAATTTCCAAATTACTGGTAAGCTATCAAGCCAATGCTATTAGATGGGCGGACCGCCGAGATAAGACCAAATATGATAAAATCAGTGTAGAAACCAAACTAGATTTTGCCAATCTTTTTCAACAAATTCAGTGATTATGAACCTCTCCGCAAATGACTGATACAAATATTCAAATTGTTAGTTATTCTATCTTGATTGTAAATTATCATACGGGTCTTAGTGATTTAGAAACAATGTCTAAGTACTGCGTTATTGTCATTATATTCTAGTAGCATGATTGTGTTCAATACATTCATGTATATCAAACTGTTCAAAATAGGAAACAAATATACTGCATGCGCATCAATATCAAATGAACATTGCTATACACGGACGTTTCTTATAGTTAGATATATATAACTTATGTAAAATGAGTGCAGATTGTACATGCTGGGAGAGAAATCGAACACATGACATGGTACAAAACATAAGTTGTCAAACATTCTAGGCAGCCACAAGGGGCGTATCTCGGCTTATATTGGCTATACGCCGAATTTTGCCGAAGGGTCCCAAGAGACTTATATCAAATATAGCTCTGTGATAATACCCAGGGTTTAGGGGATATCTAAGTGATGAAATGTCATATTAATTTTACTAGTATTGTTTTATCCATAGTTGTGAAAATAACATCAAGTGTCATGTATTGAATGTTAAAGGAATTGCACGAAGTCTATCGTTCAACTTTTTAAAATGGTTAAAAATATTTACATCGTCAGGTGTCTCTATTGTAATCAAGATGGGTTTTACTTCCTTTTAAACATTTTTGTTGTTTTTCGTTCGTCTCATCATAACTTAAAATGAGATATAATCAAGGAAAATATGCTTTAAAAAGATTTGTATGACGATAAAACAAACACAACAGCTTAAATGTTTGAAGATAACAATAAGATATAGTATTTACAGCTTACGCGATCATTTAGGTCCGTTAAAATATTCTAAATGCGTCTTATTCTATACACTATTTAAAATGTACTATTATAAACTTAGAAAATATATATATAACTAGAAGGTAAATATAAAAAGGAATTCCATATGGTCCATTCCATTGTGCTACCAATGCAAAGTTGCAGGCAAGACTTAAATTTGCATATTCATGTAAATTAAATTACAAAATGTTTAGTTTTTATTTATTTGATTCTGCTGAACGCTCTATTGCATCTTTTTATCCCCTTATTTTGGCGTATCACCTTTTCATTTCAGCGCATTAACTTATCGTTTTCTTCTCGTCGCTTATGCTAGCTCTCGGTTTTGCTGTTTTGCAGAAACTTGGCTGCATTCAGTTACCCTCGAGCGGATATTTTTACAAACTGAGAGTGTACATTGCAGATTAATTATCCTTTATTATTTAATTAGAAGAGAAATAGTACCGGTAATATGTAAACTGTACAAAGATAACAAGAACAGTAAATCAAACGATTATAAATGATTAATTGTGATGCATTTCACTTTCATAGCCATCATAATAAATTTTAGATTGAGCCTATCCAAGGGCGTTATGACGATACGGCACTTAACGCAATTACGCTTGTGTGTTTGTCGCTAGAAGGAAAACACTTTGGTGGAACAATCACTTCAGCTGGTGGAATGTTTGGAGACTGGGGTGGCGCACTTATGTGTCCTGAAAATATGTTTCTAAAAGAGTTTGCGTTACAAGTTGAAGAGTTCCAACATGTGAGTTTTATTATATTACTACATTAATTTAAATAAGTATAGAATCTATTGCTTTCTGGCAGTGGACGTGATGCAGGATTTAGCGGTGATAAAGTTAAATATGTAAAGAAGAAAACTACAAACAAAGCTTTCGCTTGTATTTGACAGAACGTAACTTCTTCCATTTTTGACCGATTAAAACATGATAAATTGTTAACAATTGTTAACAAATTCGCTTCTGATATTATTGTATACTATAAATAAAGACTGACTGGTGAATGAATCTTTTAATTCTTAAAGATAAAGATTGTAAAACTAGGAGAAAATAGTTTCTTTATTTTTGAAATATTATTGCAAGAATGGGGACGACACGGCTGCGAATTATATTAAGTTCAAATGTGGACGTATGGATTCTGAGCGGTCTAGATATGAACTTGCACATGCGCCAGGATATGGGTTCTGGGGAGAAATGACTGGATGGAGTAGGGCATGTCCAACAAACTCAGCAATATGCGGCATACAGACTAGAGTGGAAGATTATCAACATAACGGAGATGACACTTCCCTTAATGATGTCAAATTCTTCTGTTGCAATGATGATTCTTGGAAATGTAAAATGTAAAAATTTAAAACTTTATTTTCATTCCTTACTGTTGTTAATTTGTTTTATTGGATTTAAAATCACACTGACACTTTAAAAGCGATTTTCCAGTTTTACTTTTGGGAGAATACATGGCGGGATTCGAATCCAAAGTGATTCAAATATATATACAGGTATAAAACATGGATAATTGAACATTCAGAATATTTTTAGATGGATAATGCTTTACAGTAATGTCATGTACATTTTACAGTAACTGTATTTTTCTTTTAAAGGCACATTATGATTGAGAAATTCAATACTTTAGAAATGTCAAACATGGGTTTAATTATGTTTTAATAATGGATTTAGATTTTAACAGCATGTTAGATGATAAACATCTCAAAAAGAAGCACTGAACATGCAGTTTTGTGTCCAAAAGGTAGCAAAATGTAAACAAAGTAGTATTTGACTTACAAACAAAATACCAATGCACTATAATTATACCGTTTGCCAACAGAGCCGCAGCTGCAAAAGGTAGTCCATGTATATGCTTTGAAAACAGTAACAAGATACCAAATTAAAGTTAAAAGTTTTTGAAAAGTAAATTGAATTGGAAGCATTTCTGAGATATAATTCGCCTTTAATTAACAGATGATATTTTAAAGCAGCACGCCTCCAGATTCATGTTAATAGTCATGAAAATTTTGGAGATGTATTAAAACATAAAATATTGTAAGCTGAACAAATAAAGTAATTTACATATTGCAATCGGCACTTACAATCAAAGAAAATTACCAAAAAGGTGTCAACATAAGCAAAAATAGCCCTTACTGTGTTAGTAACGAAGTAGAAATATGGTAATAAAAACTGCAAAATCAGTCTTAAACTGCATATAACTTGAAAAATATAACTTGGATCTGGAATGTTTACTTTTCTTAAATGTTTAGTACATTTTCCACAATATTGATTTTCTTGAAATATTTTGACTCATCTGGAGGAGTGAAGCTTTAACACTTTAGCTTTAACACTTTAACTATAATAGAACACAATTCTTTTATTTTACATGTTTAAAACAGTTATAATATTTTAAATAGTGTTCTGTGTAGTAAAATGGAAAAAAATGTTAACGATTAATTAATATTTTTAATTAAATGTTTCTTTCATTGTATTTCAGCTTGTTTTTATATATAGTTAATAATATGTTTAAAACTTTTACAAAATTGAAAATATTTTGCAGATAAAAGTAATGTTAACCATTCTTTTATAATGAGCAAAAAATCCATTCATTAATAAAATTGTAAATTCAGGTTCTTTTCATAAATTAAAATATTTCTTTCATTATGTATTTTAGCTTGTTTTTATTTTGATAGTTATTTTTTTCATGTTTGTTTTTTTTTTATCTCAATCAGTACAAGCTTAAACTGCACAATATTTATGATTCAAAACTGGCTAAATATCTATAGAACAGCTAATGTATGTAGTTAAAGTGATAATGTAACATTTGATAGAATAATTAATAAAGGAAATTTTACAATGCGTTTGTTTACATCTGGCAAAACTTAAAGAAAAACTTGTTATTTACTGATTATACAAAATGATGGGGAAAAACCATAAAAACCAATACAAATGTATTACATATTATAATACCATCTTTCAACTTGTTCAAATGATCTATGAATAGATTATAACAATTATCCTGATTAGACCTTAGGACATGTTAACAGCACTTTAATATTTGAGACATTTCTAAGATATATCTCCCACTTGTGTCACACTTTAAACATCATAGGGGTAACAAACAGCAAATGTAACATGATTAAAGTATCAAACAATAACAAAATCAGCTGTTTGTTTCCTTCTTAAGCCTGTCGAATTACTAAAATGGACTTGTCCAGCTTGTTGGAATTGTCCATTATCAATTTTGGGGAATTCAGGATGGAAAATTTAAAATGAAGCCAATTAGATTATATATAGACCCTTAGGTCAGACTACATGGTAGTGCAGACTGGCCGTGTTAAATCACCCATGGCAAAGACTATTTGCTTTTTACTCAAACAGACTGGAGGGTAAGGGTTTATAATTAATAAATGATATATAAATGTTTTAATCTTATGATATATACAGTACTACTGAATTTACTCTTGGAAAAATCAACTTTGAAAGTCGAGCAAGAGTTACGAACTTTATCATAATATGATAAGATGTGCAAAACTTCTCAAGAATAAAACTCTTCTATATTTATAGATATCAATTATTTGAAGGACCATTAAGCAACGTTTGATATATTTAAAATTTAACTGTCAACTTAAATTTTGAAGAAAAAACCTTAAAATATTGTGTTCTTTTTCCCCTGAATAGAATTGCAAAGAACTGCAAACGCATGCCTTCATGAAAATTTAAGCACTAGAAAAAAAGTAAGCCTGAAGTTCACAACTCAGACTGGTGTAGAAATAATTATATCTGGTGTATACAAAGTTATTACATTTCCACACCACGTAACCGTTGATATAAGGACCAATGAGATTAATGATAATTTGTGCATGTAACATTAACATAATGATAGTCTATATACGCATATTCTTTATAGTCCATATAGTCTTTAATATTTACAAATTCATTCCTTTAAATTTTGAAAAATTATACAGTATTATGATACCAATATCTAGCAAAGAATTTAACTTTGTTGTGCTCAAAGGTTTCATTTGTTCTTAAAAAACTTATAATAATCTTAATATGAATATTTGTGTTTTTTAACAAAAGGTGTTATTCTTTTTTCAGTTATTAAACTTTCAGAAAGTTAAAGTCAAATGAGTATATTTACTGCTGATTCAACAAAATTTCTATTTTGTACTCCCTGTGAAGCTTAATCTATAATACATTTCCAATATTGCAGAACTTTCATCAAACAACTTAATTCTTACAAAAAACCGACATTAATAATAAAATGTTCCAAACAGAATACACTGGAATGCTTTATATTACAGAAAGATTGAAATATATGTTTAACACAGCAAACAGTTCTTTATACAAAAGATTCACTGTGGGTTGTGACAGCTTCACTCCATTCCTTCAGGCTATCACCGTGGGTTTTATTGCGATAAGAACCATTTAAAAGGCATATCACCATGGGTTATGTCAGCTTTACTGCATTCTTTGAGGCTATAACCGTCAACTAACTTGAGATCTGAACCACTAAAAGGCCTTCACCCTTGGTTGTGTCAGATTCACAGCATTTGTTGAGACTGTTACCATGGGTTAACTTGCATTCAGAACTATCTAAAAGGCTTATTACTGTTGGTTGTGTAAGCTTCGCTGCATTCCTTGAGGTTCCGTCGGTTTTATTGTGATCAGAACATTCTAAAAGGCCTATCCCCGTGAGTTCTGTAGGCTTCACTAAAGTCGTTGAGCCTATCACCACGGGTATGGGATCAGAGCCTTCTTAAAAGCCTATCACCATGATATGAGTCTGTAAATGTTTTCCTTAAGGCTATCACCGTGGGTTTAATTGCGGTCAGAACCCTCCAAAATGTCTATAACCGTTGGTTGTGTCAGCTTTACTGCATTCCTAGAGGCTATAACCGTCGACTCACTTGCAATCTGATTCCTCTAAAAGGCCTATCACCGTGGGTTGTGTCAGAACCACTGAATTCGTTGATGCTATAAACGTGGGTTTTATTGCAATTAGAAACCTCTAAATGGACTATCACCATGGTTTGTGTGTAAGCTCACTGCATTCCTTGACGCTAGAGAGTTCATCGAAATAAAACCAGCAGTCATTCTATCGCTGAATACTGTAAAGCTCACAGAACTCACGATGATAGGCGTTTTGGAAATTCTTATCGCAATATAATGTTTTTGAAGAATATTGCAAGTTTTAACAATATACTACTATCTGTGCCATTTATTAACATATAAAGTCAATGTGTGTAATTCGGTGAATCTGAGCAAAGTTTTGCAAGTTTATTCATCAAGTTCAAATCGAAGAAACCACTAATGAAAAATAATAAAAACAAGCATGTTCATACGTTCACCCATGAAGCTCGTACTATTACAACTACTAGTAATACTGCTGCTGCTGTTGTAACTGTTACTGCTACTGCTACTGCTCCTGCTACTGCTACTTTTAATACTACTACTGCTGCTGCTGCTGCTGCTGCTGCTGCTACTGCTGCTACTGCAGTAGCAGTAGCAGTAGCAGTAGCAGTAGTAGTAGCCGATGCCGTAGCCGTAGCAGCAGCAGAGGCAGCAGCAGAATAAGTAGAAGTAGTACGAGGAGGATGAGAAAGAGGAGGTTGAGCAGCAGCAGCAGTAAAAGTATATAGTATAGTTATTTTTTTTATTATTTTATTTCTTTTATTTGCCGAATTTAATGATTGATGCATTTGTTTTGTTTACTGGGACCAGTGACAACATTGGCATTGATATGCAGGTTAAAAGTTGAAACTCACTTGTATCTTGTACTCTTAGCATTTCTTAAAAAAAAACATTATATTGCGTAAAGAACCCCTCAAAACGCATATCATTGTTCTGTTAGCTTTACTGAATTCAGCGAGGATATGACTGCTGGCTTCATTTCGATATGAACGTTCTTGCGTCAAGGAATGCTGTAAAGCTGACACAACCAACGGTGATATGCCCTTGAGAGGGTTCAGAACGCAATATAATACACTATGATTGCCTCAAGAAATGCAGCAAAGCCGACACAAACCCAGGGTGATGTGCCCTTGATGGGGTTCCGAACCCAAAATAATAGACGTTGATTGCCTCAAGGAATGCAGTTAAGCTGACACAACCCTCGGTGATGCTCGCTTAAGGGGTTTCCGAACGCAATACAATAGACGTTGATTGCCTCAAGGAATGCAGTAAAGCTGACACAACCCACGGATATATGCTCTCTAGAGGGTTCCGAACGCAATATAATACACATTCATCGCCTCAAGGAATGCAGTAAAGCTGACACAACCCGAGGTGATATGCCCTTAAGATGCTTCCGAACGCAATATGTTACAGGTTGATTGCCTCAAGGAATGCAGTAAAGCTGACGAAACCAAATATGATGTGCCCTTAAGAGAGTTCCGAACGCAATATAATACACGTTGATAGTAGTAGTAGTAGTAGTAGTAGTGGTAGTGGTAGTGGTGGTGGTGGTGGTGGTGGTGGTGATGGTGGTGGTGGTGGTGGTGGCGGTGGCGGTGGCGGTGGCGGCGGCTACTATTGCAGTTTTATTATCCAAGTTAGCTTTTACATTTTGTATTGGGGATGTGAATACTCTTCAGGAGTGACGATATCTGTGTTTTATGTGAAACTTATATACTACATAAATCAGGGAATTAAAGATGTCTTTGAGGTAATAATTGGAGGTCACTGTCACTATACAAGGTGATAATAATTGGAGGTCACTGTCGCTATATAAGGCGATAATAATTGAAGATCACTGTCGCTATACAAGGTGATAATAATTGGAGGTCACTGTCACTAAACAAGGTGATAATATTTTGTAAGTCACTGTCACTATACAAGGTGATAACAATTGGAAGTCACTGTCACTATACAAGGTAATAATGATTGGAAGTCACTGTCACTTTACAAGGTGATAATAATTGGAGGTCACTGTCACTATGCAAGGTTATAATAGTTGAAGGTCACTGTCGTTATATGAAGTAATAATAATTTGAGGTCACTGTCGCTATACAATGTGATAATAATTGGAGGTCACTGTCACTTTAAAGGGTGATAATAATTGGAGGTCACTGTCATTATGCAAGGTGATAATAATTCGAGGTCACTGTCGCTATATAAGGTGATAATAATTGGAAGTCACTGTCACAATACAAGGTGATAAAAAATTGGAGGTCACAGTCATTATACAAGGTGATAATATTGGGAAGTCTCTGTCACTTTACAAGATGATAATATTAGGAGGTCACTGTCGCTTTACAAGGTGATATTAATTAGAAGTCACTGTCACTATACAAGGTGATAAGAATTGAAGGTCACTGTCGATATATAAGGTGATAATAATTGAAGGTCACTGTCGCTATACAAGGTGATAATAATTGGAGGTCACTGTCACTATACAAGAAGATTATAATTGGAAGTCACTATACAAGGTGATAATGATTGGAAGTCACTGTCACTGTACAAGGTGATAATAATTGGATGTCACTGTCACTATGCAATGTTATAATAATTGAAGGTCACTGTCGCTATATAAGGTGATAATAATTGGAGGTCACTTTCGCTATACAAGGTGATAATAATTGGAGGTCACTGTCACTTTACATGGTGATAATAATTGGAGGTCACTGTCATCATGCAAGTTTATAATAATTAGAGGTCACTGTCGCTATATAAGCTGATAATAATTGGAAGAAACTGTCACTATACAAGGTGATAATAATTGGAGATCACTGTCACTATACAATGTGATAATATTTGGAAGTCACTGTCACTTTACAAGGTGATAATAATTGGAGGTCGCTGTCGCTTTACAAGGTGATAATAATTAGAGGTCACTGTAAGTATACCAGGTGATAAGAATTGGAGGTCACTGTCGATATATAAGGTGATAATATTTGGAGGTCACTGTCACTATACAAGGTGATAATATTTGGAAGTCACTGTCACTATACAAGTTGATCATGCTTGGAAGTCACCGTCACTGTACAAGGTGATAATAATTGAAAGTCATTATCTCTTTACAAGGTGATAATAATTGGAGGTCACTGTCAGTATGAAAGATGATAATATTTGAAGGTCACTGTCACTATACAAGGTGATAATAATTGGTGGTAACTGTCGGTTTACAAGGTAATACTATTTGGAGGTCACTGTGACTTTACAAGGTGTTAATAATTGGAGATTACCGTCGCTATATAAGGTGATAAGAATTGGAGGTCACTGTCACTATACAAGGTGATAATAATTGGAAGTCACTGTCACTATACAAGATGATTATAATTGGAAGTCACTGTCACTTTACAAGGTGCTAATAATTGGAGATCACTGTCACTATGCAAGGTGATAATAATTGAAGGTCACTGTCGCTATATAAGGTGAAAATAATTGGAGGTCACCGTCGCTATACAAGGTGATAATAATTGGAGGTCACTGTCACTATACAAGGTGATTCTATTTGGAAGTCACTGTCAATTTATAAGGTGATAATAATTGGAGATCTCTGTAGCTATATAAGGTGATAATAATTGGAGGTCACTGTCGCTATGCAAGATGATAATGAATTGGAGGTCACTGTCACTATACAAGGTGATAATAATTGGAGGTCACTGTCACTATACAAGGTGATAATAATTGAAGGTCACTGTCACTTTACAAGATGTTAATAATTGGAGGTTACTGTCACTATATAAGGTGATAATAATTGGAGGTTACTGTCGCTATACAATGTGATAATAATTGGTGGTCATTGTAACTATACAAGGTGATAATAATTGGAAGTCACTGTCACTTTACAACGTGATAATAATTGGAAGTCACTGTTACTAAACAAGGTGATAATAATTGGGAGTCACTGTGCAAGGCCATTAACTCTGACATGAATTTTGACTGAATTATTATTCTTTGATAGAAGAAATATTCTGATTGAAGTTTTGTAGAGAAGATAAAAAATATTATATTAGTCTTATTTTTATTTGATACTAAGTACATGTCTTTTTGATTATTATTGTAAGCAACTTACCAAGACATATCATATCTTTTGCATTAATTTCGACATAACAACTGTTTTCTAAAATCTAGAAATAGAGTTCAAAAATATTAACTAGAATCTTAATTTGTATGCTCTAAATAGCAGAGTTAGTGCAGTGTTACATGACAGATACTGTCTTAAACATGAATTGTAATATGTTGGACATTTTCTTATCATTATTAGGGTTTTGACGAGGTTAATGAGCGGTGGACGCCTGTTGACTTCAAACCACATGCAATGCACCACTGTGGGTTCGAATTCCGACAGGGACATTTGATTCTCTCATGTGTGGAAGCTATCCAGCTAGCTCACGGAACGTCGGTGGTTCTACTCGGGGTGCCCGTTCGTGCCTTAAACAATGCACGGAAGGGCATCTGAAGTCTTCCTCCACCAATAAAGCTGGAACGTTGCCATATGACCTGTACTGTGTCGGTGTGACGTAAAACCCAATTAAACAAACAAACAAGGTTAATTAGCATTATTGATTATTTAAAGCATAACTCCATCTGAAAAAAGAGAAATTTCCAAAGAAATTGTTCATATCATATTTAAACATTGCCTGTCACGTCAACATAGTCAATGAATTCCTTATTTTGTTGAAAGTTGAACAACTTTGGTAATCCCCCTAAAGTAAAACTAGAAAATCGCCTTTAAATTGTCTGTGTCATTTAAAATAAAAAAACAACAAATGAACAAACGTAAGAAATGAAAATAAAGTTTTAAATTTTTACATTTTACATTTCTAGGAATCATCATTGCAACAGAAGAATTTGACATCATTAAGCGAAGTGGCATCTCTGGTATACTGATAGTCCTCCACCCTAGTCTGTTTGCCGCATATTGGGGATTTTGTGGGACATACCCTACTCCATCCAGTTATTTCTGCACAGAACCCACGTCCTGGCCCATGCACAAGTTCGTAGATGACCGCTCAGGATCCATATGTCCACATTTGAACTTAATATAATTAGCAGCCGTGTCTTCCCCATCCTTGCGATAATTTATCAAAAATAAAGAAACTATTTTCTCCTAGTTTTACATTCCTTATCTTTAAGAATTAAACAATACATTCACAAGTCAGTCTTTATTTAGAGTATGTAGTTGTAAAAATAAATCGAATTTATCTTAAATGTATAGTGTTCTAATAATGTTAACATAGTGTTAAGATATACATAGGACGATATTTCAATGAGAGATATACACAGGACGATATTTCACAGCGAGATAAACATAGGACGATATTTAACTCTGAGATATACACAAGGCGATATTTTACTCAAAGATATACATAGGATTATATTCCATTTAGAGATATACATAGGACGATATTTTACTCAAAGATACACATAGAATGATATTGCACATTAATAACAACAAAATTAAATGAAAATTGTTCTAAACAAATATTTTATTTTGATGTTTGTTTCATTATAAATTCCAAGAGTCATCGTTACAACAGAAGAATTTGACATCATTAAGAGCAGTGTCATCTCCGCCATGTTGATCATCTTCCACTCTAGTCTGTATGCCGCATATTGAGGAATTTGTGGGACAGGCTTTACTCCACCCATCCATTGTTCACCAGGTGCCTGTTCAAGTTCGAAGGTTTGTCGCTCAGAATCCATACGTCCACACTTGAACTTGATATAATTCGCAGCCGTGTCGTCCCCACCCTTTGCACTTTGCAGAAATACCATGTATTTCAAAATTAAAAAAAAACAACAACAACTATATTTTGTTTTGTTTTTTGTCTTTTATCTTTTAACAACACATTTACTAGTCACTATTTCTTTTTGATATGCAATTACATGATATTCATTTACGAATAAACAAAATCGTTGAGTTGATGACATTGTACAAAAACCTACACGATCCCGTTTGCCAGTTTTAACTTCACCATTTTTATAGCCCGTGACCACTGTGTAATGTCCACCGTCGGAATGGCGGCGCTTTTGGGCATATCATGGTGTACAACTACGAGATGAAAATAATGAGTTTAATAAGTACCTTATATAGAAAAATCTATAGATTCATATAAAATGAATGTAGTAAGTAAGTCTTACATGTTGGTCTTCTTCAACTTGCAACGCAAACTCTTTTAGAAATGTATTATCAGGACACATTCTATCTAATGGTTAAAATCGTAAGTTAACCCACATTTATAGCCTTAGAGAATGCAGAAAAGCTCACACAATCAAACCAATGATTTTTATCGCCCTATCGCTGATAGCCTCATGATATGAAGTAAAGATTACACAACGCACGGTGATAGGTCTAATAATGGTACTTATGGCAAGATATTCCACGTTGATAGCACCAAAGAATACAGTAAAACCCAAACAGGTAATGGTAATAGGCCAATCTAATCGTCCATATCGCACGTAATTCCGGGGCAGGGAACCTAACAATGACCAATTTTGCATTTTAGTGTGGCCAGACACACTATTCAAAATATTTTAAAATCGGTTTCACAAGGCAGGTAACCAGTTGCACAGCATTATTCAATGATATATGGCATACATTGAAGAAAATAATAATTTGCATATATTGCTCCTTTAAAAAATGACTGACAGCAATTTATATTTACCTCCACCCAGCCAAAATCACACCTAAAATATACCAATATGTGTAATCTTCGTGAAGGTGCAGCATACTCCAGAATCCGCCCAATTCTTTTAAAAATACCACTAACACACAGTACAATCAATGGCATTTTCAAAAAAGACCAATAAAGCATCTATCATTCATTTAGAGTTATGGCCCTCGAAAACCTGGTTTCGTCGCATTGCGATGTTTCTTGTTTATCTTTCATTTCAGTGCACAGAACACTAGAATATTATTATGGTGTTAATTGTTATATAAAAAACTGTGTTCTATAATTATTAAAACGTCATTAAGAAAAAATACAGATACTGTAAAATGAACATGACATTTCTGTGTAGCATAAATCATATGAAAATATTGTGCAAGAAACATTTCATAAGTTTGTGTTTCATGATTATATAATTATAATACATAAAAAAATCATTTTCTACAGCTGCTATTACAGGTTAATTATTCTATTTATACATATTAAAAACTTTTTGTGTACACACAATTATTTTTCACGTGCGATTTTTAACTGAATCCTATTATTTGTTGCTTAACAATAATTTATAGGAAACAAATTTATCATAATAATGATATTATAGATTATTTACAGTTTCCTCATAGCTGAAAAAGAACCCTTCTAATAGTCAAGTTTTAGTTCAGAACAATTTTATAAGTCATACGGTACATTTTGTTTAAAATTTGCATACAGGTGTCCTATTAGGCATATAACTGTACAATATTGTACATTTTACAGTTCCTTAGGAGTTTTCTACCTTAACATTTTACATTCTACTTTTTATAAGAATCATCACTACAACAGAAGAATTTGACGTCATTGAGAGAAGTGTCATCTCCGTCATATTGATAATCTTCCATTCTAGTCTGTATGCCGCATATTGCAGAGTTTGTTGGGCATGTCCTACTCCATCCATTCATTACTCCCCATAACCCATATCCTGGCGCATGTGCAAGTTCGTAGATAGATGATCCAGAATCCATATATCCACATCTGAACTTAATATAGTTTGCAGCCGTGTCGTCCTCATACTTGCAATAATATAAAATAAACAAACTATTTTCCCCTAGTTTTACATTCATTTTCTTTAAGAATTAAAAGAAACATTTTTCAGTCATTCTTTATTTATAGTATACAATTATATCAGAAGCGAATTCGTTTGGTTAACAATTTATCATGCTTTTATCCGTCAAAAATGGAAGAGCTTACGTTCTGTCAAAGACTACAAGCGAAAGCTTTGTTTGTAGTTTTCTTCATTACATATTTTACTTTATCACCGCTAAACCCTGCATCACGTCCACTGTCAGAATTGTGTCGCATATGTGTACAATGGTGTGCAAATGCGAGATTGAAATAAGACATATTATGAAAAAATCTAAAGATTCTTATTAAAATTAATGGAGTAATAAAATATAACTCACATGTTGGTACCCTTCAACTTGTAACGCAAACTTTTTCAGAAACATATTATCAGGACACATAATTATGCCACCCCAGTCTCCATAAGGCCCAACTTCTGAAGTGATTGTTCCACCAAAGTGTCTACCTTCTAGTGACTTACACACAAGCAAAATTGCGTTAAGTGACGTATCGTCAGCACGGTGCCCTTGGCTAGGTTCAATCTAAAAATATGATGGCTATGAAAGTGAAATGCATCACAATTAATCATTAATCATCGTTTGATTTACTGTTCTTGTGATATTCATACAGTTTACCTATTACTATTTCTCCTATAAAAGTTGATCTGCAATGTTTATTATAACCTAACAATAGAAGTTTATAAGCTAAAGTGCAAAATCAGTCATAACTTTACGATAGGTGATCCCATTCGTAAGTGTTTATTTTCCTTTACAGTATTAAAATATCACGTATCTTTTATCAAAATAGAGAAATAGGTGAAAAAATTAAATCAATAATTTGGGCGTAGATCGACCAACATATTCGTAGCTGCTTATTGATTCTATAGGTATGCTTAGGATGTTACCTTATTCGAATATGTGTAACCTATTTCGATAATGCGTATGCACAATCAATCAAAGTTTATGAGAGAAGGGAAGAGCAAATTAATTACATTGCGGGAAACCATATTAGAGAGAATGATTATATCGTTGTTACAGTATTAGAAAGTATGTTATGTGACAAGCAATGTAAAAATATGATATAAACAATTTCTTTGCAGATTTCTCTTTTTCAGATTGAGTTATGGTTCAATAATCAATGCTGTTATGCCAATTAATCTCGTCAAAACCCTAATAATGATAAGAAAATGTCCAATATATTGCAATAATCTTTTCCACAGAATCAAGATCAGTGAAAACTAAACATTAATGAGTCGTGACATGACATTTCCAACATAATGGTCAAATGACATAATTGTAGAAATTACTCATATCCAGCATTAAGATTAAGTGAAACATGCACTGGTAACATTTAACCTTTAGCAAAAACACTCGCTTATTCCTATCAAAGAAAATTTCAAGGAAAATATGAGTTGACAAACTTATTTCATCTATTCAAACAACACTTGACATATTGTCATTGCAACAGAAATTACTTACTTAAAATAATTAAACAATGATTACATATATTATCTTTTATGTTATTTTATTTCGAGTGTCAAGATGTTTTCAAGTATTTCTCTTTATATATGGTAACATGTCGTGGCTGATTTTTATATAAATCACTGTTGTACAGCATTCACCTGAAATAGCCCCTCAAAACATCGAAAACGAAAGTAAAACGGTTTACGTCGAGTTCACCCTAGGTAATGTTTCAACTGATTTCTCCATCATAAGTCAATCTATTTTTTTCAAACTAAACAATTTTATGAAGCTAAATATGTCTGGTTTTAGAACATTTTTTTTTGCTTTTGTCAGCAATTTGAATATTTTTTGTTAAATTTGCGATAAATTGTTGAGTATTTGTTAACATTTTCGAACGATGTTGATATTTACCAATAAAGCAAGCCCAACATGCATTTGCTGTATCAAAATCAGTCTTTAATACAAAATGTACACTTCCCTCTGCTGGTATTTGGGTGGTCACCTATCACCTCGCGCTGCTTTTAGCAAATAGAGAAAATTAGAGTCCCTAAAGAAAGCCCAACACGGCAAAATTGAAAATGTTGCAGGCTCGGTTTGATTGAGCCTGTTCATGGACGGTACTGTAAAGTGCAAACTACCGTCCACGTTTTGGTCTACCTGTAATCATTGTAAAGCATGTTTGAATTAAGTCTTCTCAAAAAACTGAAATCCTGATTAACTGAAATAATTGTCATCTTTTATTTATTTACTTTTGTGCTTGAAATGTTTCGTGCTGTTTACAAAATTGCTGTACATCATTCTCGCAGTGAAAAGGAAGTGTACTTTCGTTTTAGTAAGATTAAATATAGAAACCAATCAAATGCGTCGTTTCTCTGTACTCTCATATCCGCCATATTGGAAATCCATGCTTGTCATATTTTGATTATTTTTGTGTTAACGATAGTTTTTAGTTAATGAAAAAAGTTGTAAATGATGGAGAAATGAATAAATTTTTCACTGCTTAGGTAATTTGTTAGTTGTCACCTTATTTTGTTACGGTAAATAATGATTGTTTCTTAGATGCGTTGGAACTACGTACACCAGGATATCATTAAAATGCTACATAAAATGAAAAAAGAATCACATTAAGAAAGTTTTTTTTTGTTTTCCACCGGAAATGTATTTCATTTGATTCATCAACGAGACAAGAGTAAAACTTATATGTGCAAATTAAAAAAAGATATCACAGCATGGAAAGAAACTTTCTACACTCTTGTTAAAAAATGTTTTGATTTTTTTCTATATAAACCTTGAACTGTGGCATATTAGTCCAATTCTTTACATCTGGTGGAAGTTTATTCCACAGGGAGTAAATATTGCAGGAAATAGACTTTTTACCAAAACCTTTAACTTAAGGAATTCTGAAGCAAGACGCTTCACTAAACCTAGTTTTATGATTATATAAAGAACTGGCTGGAATAAAATGTTCATTCATGTAAAAAGGGGCAGAATCTGTATGTATTTTAAAAATATGATCAATAGTGATTTGCTCAACTCTGTTTAAATACTTGACCTACTCAGTGTGCTTAATAGAAGTACCATTACAAATAATATAAAGGTTTTTAACCTGATTTTAGACCCAAAATAGAATTGATTCTGTTTTCTCTAAATGTAAAGACAATTTGTTAACAATTTAACAGTTACTAACTTTTACAAGGTATTTTGTTTGCAAATATCAATTTTACATTTCCATTTACTAGCAATTAAACAAGCAGAATCATCTTCGAACAATAAATGTTTGTTTTTCACAACAACTGCCATGTCATTTATATAAATCAAAAAAGCAAATATTGAATAACGTTAGTCAAAGGTCAGTTATCACCATACTGATGACTTTTCTTACTAATTTTTCAATGTTTGCATTTAATTTAATGTAAACTTTCCGTCAAATGTTGTTCTAATTAGTACAATACAAAGAAAAAGAAAGAAATAAAACACACACAAAAAAACTCTGAGTGGCTTTAATTTGTCTAAAGTCCATTAACTCAAATCAGTTCAAGCTTGTTTCTTATTTACGTAGAAACACTTGAATTTAAAAAAAACGTCCGGACAAGGATCTGGTACTCGACTGCTAGCTAAGAGACTTTTAATTGACAATAAGTTATATTAAGTGTTCATAGAAAACAGCTATCATGTACCTGGAAAAAGCGAGAGGACGGAAATTATGAGAGGGCTTTCAAGGAATTGTAAACATTTCAAAGAAAAAATATATATTTTTAAACTGAAACTAAAGTTGATTACAAGGAATTAGACAGGAAGTATATCATTCAAACCGCCAGTTCCCACCCCCCCCCAGAAAAAAAATCAAAGGACTGCAAGCTCTGTGGCATTTCTTATCTTTGCAATCTAAATCGGACTATATATCTGTATGCTTTTCCTGTATATAAGTTTTATATACTATAATTCATCTTACAGGGCTCCGAGATGCAGCTTCACTTTATCCCTGCATACTTGCATATCATGGCTAATTGTTTAAAAAGGACACTTAAAATAGTTGCCTCGACTGGGATTTGAGCACCGGAACTATCATACCCTAAACGGATAAATATCATTTTAATCAATGAAAATGCTATATTTAGCGATGTCTATTAGCGACTTCTTCAGAGCGTAATTTACAAATAAATCTGACTGTCGATTACTTGAATATATACATGTCGGACGGTTTTGGCGAGAAGATTTATCTACATTATTGACATCAGTGTGTAGTGTAAAACAGCAGGTTTATCGTGAACAAAATACCTCGTAATTAATAAGTATTACAAACCCGAAATGGAAATTCTAAATTTAGAATTACATGATTTTATTAACTCCCCCGTGGTACAGGGCTAACGCGCTCGTTTAGGGTATGATAGTTCCGGTGCTCAAATCCCAGTCGAGGCAACTATTTTTAAGTGTCCTTTTTCAACAATTAGCCATGATATGCAAGTATACAGGGATAAAGTGAAGCTGCATCTCGGTGCCCTGTAAGATGAATTATAGTATATACAACTTATACAGGAAAAAGCATACAGATATATAGTCCGATTTAGATTACAAAGATAAGAAATGCCACAGAGCTTGCAGTCCTTTGATTTTTTTCTGGGGGGGGTGGGAACTGGCGGTTTGAATGATATACTTCCTGTCTAATTCCTTGTAATCAACTTTAGTTTCAGTTTCAAAATATATTGTTTCTTTGAAATGTTTACAATTCCTTGAAAGCCCTCTCATAATTTTCGTCCTCTTACATGATAGCTGTTTTCTATGAACACTTAATATCACTTATTGTCAATTAAAAGTCTCTTAGCTAACAGTCGAGCACCAGATCCTTGTCCGGACGTTTTTTTTTAAATTCAAATGTTTCTACGTAAATGAGAAACAAGCTTGAACTTATTTGAGGAAATGGACTTTAGACAAATAAAAGCCACTCAGAGTTTTTTTTGTGTGTGTTTTATTTCTTTCTTTTTCTTTGTATTGTACTAATAAGAACAACATTTGACGGAAATTCTACATTAAATTAAATGCAAACATTGAAAAATTAGTAAGAAAAGTCATCAGTATGGTGATAACTGACCTTTGACTACCGTTATTCAATATTTGCTTTTTTGATTTATATAAATGACATGGCAGTTGTTGTGAAAAACAAACATGTATTGTTCGAAGATGATTCTGCTAATTTAATTGCTAGTAAATGCAAATGTAAAATTGTAAATATTTGCAAACAAAATACCTTGTAAAAGTTAGTAACTGTTAAATTGTTAACAAATTGTCTTAACATCTAGGGAAAACATAATCAATTCTATTTGGGGTCTAAATCAGGTTAGAAACCTTAATATTATTTGAAATGGTACTTCTATTAAGCACACTGAGTAGGTCAAGTATTGAAACAGAGTTGAGCAAATCACTATTGATCATATTTTTAAAATACATACAGATTCTGCCCATTTTTACATGAATGGACATTTTATCCCAGCCAGTTCTTTATATAATCATAAAACTAGGTTTAGTGAAGCGTCTTGCTTAAGAATTCTTTAAGTTAAAGGTTTTGGTAAAAAGTCTATTTCCTACAATGGTTGCTCCCGGTGGAATAAACTACAAGATGTACAGAATTGGACTAATATGCAACAGTTCAAGGTTTATATAGAAAATTCTTTTTTAACAAGAGTGTAGAAAGTTTCTTTCCATGCTGTGATATCTTTTTTTTTTAAGTTTGCACATATATGTTTTACTCTTGTCTCCTTGATAAATCAAAATGAAATGCATTTCCGGTGGAAAACAAAAACTTTCTTATTGTGATTCTTTTTTCTTTTTATGTAGCATCTTAATGATAAGAAATGTCTGTAAAACTTAATAAGAGTCGTTTTAAATTCTCAGACAAGTTTCTACAATACTTAAAAGTAAGTAAATTAACTTCACGCCGCCAGGCTGCTGGGCAGCCAACTTTACAACGCGTGGCCGCGAGGCCGCCAACTTCACACATCTAACAATCATAGTAAATTATCCAAAGCAAAAATATTTTGTACTGAAATGTTTTTTTGCACTGAACACAGACCAATACTTATGTTTTAGAATTTTCTTCAATAGCTCAAATGATTTATATTTTAGGTTTATAACTTATTATCTAAAAAAACAAAATAAAATAAATCAGAAAACAATAATCACAGTTATTCCTTTATCACAATATTGTGGAAAACAAAAACTTTCTTATTGTGATTCTTTTTTCTTTTTATGTAGCATCTTAATGATAAGAAATGTCTGTAAAACTTAATAAGAGTCGTTTTAATTTCTCAGACAAGCTTCTACAATACTTAAAAGTAAGTAAATTAACTTCACGCCGCCAGGCTGCTGGGCAGCCAACTTTACAACGCGTGGCCGCGAGGCCGCCAACTTCACACATCTAACAATCATAGTAAATTATCCAAAGCAAAAATATTTTGTATTGAAATGTTTTTTTGCACT